TGGGTTTAACTCCATGTACGCCAGAGCCTGTTCCCTTGTTAGTTTTAGATCCATCCGTATACCATACGAGACCGCTAAGCAAGTATTTATCTATCTCCTTATTTACCTCGTTCCAGTTACAGTTGACCTGGAAGAGTCTGTTAAAGGTTAGGAGGGGTGTCATGTAATCTGATCCCATATTTAATATGGAATCATTTACCTCATATGTTATTCTGGTATGTTTGATATATCTCAGTGGGTTCCAGTTGTTGGAGATTTCCAGTCTGTTTATGACTAGGTCAAGGAGTGGGAGGTTTAGAATGATTTCCATAGAGGCTGTCGGTGTACTTCTCAGTGCTTCTGTACTACAAAGGCATGCTAGTCTCTGTACTCTTAAGAGGGTATTGAGGGCTGTTTTCTGGTTTACTTTTGGCCACCAATCAACCGCTCCATAAGTTATCATGGGTCTTGTTATTGCCAAATATAGCCAGTAGACCATTTTTGGTTTTAATCCCCATGTTTTTCCAAATGCCCGTCTTCCTACTATGAAATACATTTTACATTTGTTGGTCACTTTTAGTAAGTGTTGGTTCCAAGTAAGTTTGCTATGTTTGCGTTTTGAATGTTTGAAAAATATACTTGTAACGTCTCCCTACGTTATAACTCCATGATCGCGATACACTTTTATGATAAAAAGTAGATCTTATATACATGAAAGTTGGCCCCCCCTTGTCTAAAGGCTCCTCTTCACGTTGGCCAATGCACTGGCAAATATTATTGGCATTTTCATGGCCAGCACGTAAGTACCTTACTTAGAAAATATGTTTATATACAGGGTGATTTTTATATCTAAGTGGAGAAGCAAACAGACATTTTTACTTTCCTATCTATATACACTAGAGGTGTGTCGTTCGCGAACGATTCGTTCAAAAAGAACGAATCAGTGGACTGACTCGAATGAATTGATTCCCTGTTTTTAAAAGATTCGAATCTTTTTTGAGTCAATTGTTCGATGGCTCTGCGATCGATCAAACATGCCGAGTTCCGAGTTTGGTTGCTTCGTTCATTCGATTCGGATTCGAAGATTTGGTATTTTACACCGTCATCGGCAAATTGGTCGCTTTTGTTCTACGTTCTACGGCATAATACGAGAACTCTAACTGACAGGCGGTAGCGGTATGTGTCTTTAATGTTTTGCTCACTTTACGGGAGGTGTATTAAGCTTAGGTAAACAATTTATGCGTGTTGTCTGATAAATAAATTTAAATCAAAGTAAAATTAAAACAATAAATGACGAATCGTGAATATATAATTTTGCGTTAACTTTGGCTATATAGCATTTAAAAAAAAATGTGTTATTGTTGTTTATCTTAACGAACAATGATGTATTTATTATTCAGCTGCATTTTTTTTATGAAATATTAAACATTAATTCGCTTTACTTTAAAATAAATCTGGTTATAATTATTTTACTCCACGACCTAGTAGGTAGGTTAGGTAGTATTCAAATTCGTAAAAGTCCGGTTCGATTTCCTTCGCCGGATCGGCGGACTAACATCGTTCGTAGTTCGCTAAAGTGAATCACTTGAGAACGAATCTTGAAGAACGAATCTTTTTAGGTGAATGAATCAAATGAATTAATTCAGTAGAAAGATTCGAACTTCCCACCTCTAATATACACATAAGGATAGGAATTATGATTTTTTCGACCTCAAGTTTTTGACGGATTTTTACGTTTTGGGGTCTCCTGAATCCGTTTTGACTATTTCATAAACTAAAAGTTCAATGATTAACCTATATTCAACTTATAATTATTTAATTTAAAGTAATCAGATAAGATACTAATTGTCAGCTAAAGAAAAATTCTAAAACAATAAAAAATTTCATATTTGATATTTGATAGAGATATCATAAAAACAATATTTTTAATAAAATAAATAGTGATTTGTGTCTTAAAAGTTACATTTATGCTCTGTATAGTTATTGAGAGTTTAAAATAAAAGTTTCCTTACAAAATACAGAATAAATATTAATAAGTGAGTAGATTAAGCAAAATAATCAGAAAGACCAATAAAATAAATTTTAACCTTTTCAAAACTATTGTAATACATTTTTTGCACCAATGTAAAAATTTTTCCATCTGAAGGGATCATAATAGAAGCATTTTTGGTAAGTTGAAGAATATGAACCGCCAGATAAAAATTATTTTCTAAAAAGTGCAAAAACCCCATGCTATTTAAATGGGAAAAGTATCGTCTTCTAGGCAGGGCTAGGCAGCATCATAATTTTTTTTTAAGAATTGTTTTTAGGTTTTAAACAAACGATTTTGACGATACCCAAGTAAAAATAGCCAACTTGGTAACTAACGGATACCCTAGTGTATATACGTTTTAAAATATATAACTGTTCTTTTGAGTATTCTCTACCTGTTCCTCTACCTATTACCTTCATTACTTTAATACTAAAATGCAAAAGTGATAGAAGATAAGTTATATTCTCGTTTTTAATTGTTGCTTACTGACTTACTATTACTTATAATTCCTTCTTTCTAACCTTGAATCACTTGAATCACTACTTATTTGCTTTGAGTATTAATAATTCATATAAGTACTTATACTCAGATATGTACTTTGTGGAGGTACTCATTGTGAAGTATTCATGAGTACTCTAATGCAGTACTTTGACTATACTATGAGTATTTAACGCTTTTCAATAGGCTTTGATAATGCCCAAGTGAAAACCACAGAGAGCTTTTGCATTAGTCGCGAGCAGGAAACAAATAATATCAACCTAGTTATCGGCAAGTGTAAATATGATTGTCTATCAAGTCTTCTTGGGAGAAAAATTGGGCCTTTCAAATAATCATCAATGTTGCTAGCCCAAACACGTAATAAGAACTGTTCTTGATGATTTGATTCAAAAATTGCATAAGGGTTTTCATCCGCTCATAAATGGTTATTATGGAAATTTATTATTGAGTTTCGAGAAAAATTAACTTCATCGGTAAAAAGAATGAGCCTGTTAAATAATGGATTTTCCAGCAGGTTTTGAAGAAATCTCTCACAGAAATTAATGCGCAACGGGAAATCTCTAGCGAGTAATGCCTGGACTCTTTGAATGTGATATGGGTATAACCTATTTTAGATAAGAATTTTCCAAATAAGTACATGTAAAACGTTAAATGTTGTCGAGATTTTTCTCGTGCTAGTTTCGGAGTTCTCCTCAATTTCATGTAAAATTCCTTCTTCAAGTTCCGATGTTCTTACTGTTTGATGGACTAGTTCAGCCCTCTTGTCTTTTATTAAAATTCCGGTCTCGTGAAGACGTCTATGAATCCTAGAAAATGTTCCCGGATCGGATAGTACGCGATTTGGATACCGCTCTTGGTATATACGCCTGGCTTCGTATGCATTTCCGTCTGCAAGCACGTAAGTAAAATGCATGTCAGCTAATTCACTGTTCGTAAATTTTACACTTTTCTATCAGATTTGACCTTTTACTCCAATAATAATTATTTAATAATGTAATCAATGTTAATTTCTTTGTGAAAAGAAACGTCAAAAAATGCGACTCTTTATCCAGCCTACTAATTTTTATTGCATTTGCTTTAAGTGAGCATTTAATGTGCTTACCGTTTTTTTTATTCAAATATTCATTATCATGCCTCCGCGAACGTCAAATGTTGAATTAAAAAATTAATTTTTGTCCCAAAAAAATGTTTCCACGCATGGTGAGTGCCTACAAAATTTTAACAAACCATCAAAAGCTGTCTCAAGGAATTTAAGGAAACAATTTGACCGTCCAAAAAATTGTTTTTTATTTTTTTACGTGAAAACGGTGCATCATACGTAAGTAAGTCTATAGAGCAAATTTGCTCCAAATGAGGATTTCAAAAATAATTTAAATTTTTAGAAGCAGCAGTGGCGTATCATTTCTTTCTTTACCAATATTCAGTTCAAACCCCGTACGAACGTCACAGGTAAAAATCTAAAAAAATTTTGCTTTAAAATGCTCCTTAAAAGATGTGTACTAAATGTCATAAAAATATCTGGAGTGATAAGAAAATTATGATAAAAAAAGTTATTTTTTTCATAAAATTATAGTATAGCTCAAAAATTAAGAGGTTTACGACATATGTTGATATTAATTTTTCTTCACAAATCACCCAATGATTCACATCCTTAAGTATCGGCACTGAATTAATAAACACCCTGTATACTGATGCTGTATGGAAGTATTTTAAGATTTCTGAACGAGCCTGAAACGTTGTCTGGCCCGAACAAGTAGATGAAATTACTACCTAGGAATCTCGACAGTCAATGTCATCATGGTCTAGCGGTAAGGGTAATATTGTACAGAACAAAGATAATTCGTAGGGGGAATTTTTAGATTTATTTTCCAATTTTTTAAATTATTCTGTTCCATTTATATTGGTCTTGTATATTATTTCTATGATTGACACCCTCACTGAAGATGAAATTACAACTGTCCTTCCTTCGCCGAACTGGGGCCGTAACATTTCAATTTGTTTTTTCAAAATTAAACTCATAATTTTTGGTCGTTCTTACTTGATTAAGTATTTTTTCGTAGATTCCTTATGTTTTATTTAATTATAGAAATTAAAAATTTATGTTCGCAAGTTCATAACTTTTTAAAATAAATATTTATTTAAGAAAATATGTATCTGCGTTCAATTTAATCACACTTCTCTAACTTGAGTTTTACATTCACCATCAAGTACATATGTGATGTGAATCCCACTTGTCCCAAACGTAAGTAAAGTGTGTATTTACGTATAATAACATTGTTCAGCCATCACGCATCCACAACGGGCCGATAAGCTCACTGTTTAACTGATCAGAATCAATAATGCCCGCGCTTAGCGCCCATGACCATTACGAGTGTGTTTAGGGAAACCAAATACAAAACATTATGAACAAATAAGTAATAAGAAAGTGAAAAATAAGGTACCCATTAAAATTAACAAAAAATATAAATTGAATCCAGGAAAAGCTACTTACTTTTTTAAACGTGTATAAGGTACTTAAATAAAACTTAACTACAACAACAATTACACTTCATTCATGTCTATTTCTTTACTACAAGGTTTTGTTATGTACTTTATTATAGCAGAGAGTTATACAATAAAACGTCTGATGGAGTACTGGTAAAAACTAATTTCGTTTGTTATAAATAAAATTCAAGATAATTTCACTATCAGTGTGGTAACCATAAGGAACTTGGAAATAAACAATATTATCAGCCTTTTCCTTTATAATTAATACGCGTAAAACAATATTAGAAATGAATATTTTTTTTGTGTATTTTACTTGTCCAACAGTATTATTGAATCATAAGAAGGTACTTTGTATTAATATTTTTTTTAAATTATTAGCCTACGCTACAGAATAACATGAATTATAGATATGGACAAAAATAGGGGAAAGTAGGTATTTAAGTAAAACATTATTTTCTTTAGAATACCACATAAGGAATTGTAAATTAAAATATTGAATACAGATGTTTACGATTACCATCTAAAGTAGGCATTGCCGCTTTAGCGAGAAAAAAATTTAAAAAACCCTCACCTAATTTTAATTAGAGATAGATATACTCTTATCATTCCGTCATTTGACCTTTGATTTTTTTGTTTTGGGAAAGAATGGAAACAAAAAGTCTCTTGATTTGCTCTTTGTCTTGTTCCTTTTTATAATATTCTTTTTTTAATACAATTTTTTATATATACCTTTTTATATATTTATTTAATCTGTAACATTTGAACAAATCCTAACATCTTACAAATTTTTTTATTTGAGCTGACCAATTAAAACATCTTTGACAATTTTCAATAAAATTTTCACAATGCCATTACAATTGGCGTCATAATCATAGGGCTGTTCAGAAAAACTTATTGACGCCAAGGGAATTATAAAAAAAAATATTATAAAAAAGAACAAGACAAAGAACAAATCAAGAGAAACCAGGTGAGCAAAGTCGAAGCACCGAACATAAGACAAGAAGGGCCACTTTAACCTCCTCCCCCAATGTTGCCTGTCTGGAAGTCATTATTAGTCTCACTTCCCTTGATATTTACATCAAGGAGGTTGCTCTGATGACAATGACACACCTCCTCACGGTTAGAATAAAACCTGATGTAGGATGTGGCGAGACGTCGCTTTTGGCAGGAGGCGCTCGATACGCTCCCACTGCTTCAAGCGAACATGGACTCCACCATCTCACCGAGGTATATCTTCCATAAGCCATATAAAGTTATAATAGAACAAATAGAAGAGCCGGAAGCGGCAGGTACGATTCACATCTACACCGACGGTTCTAAAACAAAACAAGGCTCAGGATGTGGAATATACTCCAGATTCTTAAACCTAAACATAGCAGCAAAATAAATAACCAGAAACAGTATCACTGTTAGCAACATGCTCATCTATACAGATAGCAGACAAGCACTACTCACCCTAAATAGACCACGAATTTACTCAGGGTTAGTACTAGAATGTCACGAAGCTTTGGCCGAAGTATCCATCAACAATACGGTTACCTTAAGATGGATCAAAGGTCACGCCACATCGAAAGGAAACAGTCTTGCTGATTCACTAGCCAAGAAAGCAACCAACCAACCAAATACACCTGCCCTTCTATTGGCCTGAGAAAATCGGTAGTGACTGACCTAATCAAAGAACATTCCCTTGTGAAATTCAAGGAAAGATGGGATAAAACAAGAAACTGCATAGTTGTCAGGGAGCTCTTAAGTTATCCTGACAACACTGCAGCAAACAATGACTATGACTAGACAGAATCTGCGTCTAGTCACAGGCATTCTGACTGGTCATTGCAAAGTACGAAAAGCATCTCCATATCATGGGGCTGTCAGAATACGCATTCTGTAGAGGGTGCGAACAAGAAGATAAGACCATTGAGCATATCCTTTACGATTTCTCGACGCTCTTATTTATTAGAAGATTTGTGTTCGGCGAGTATCGGCTAACACCGGCCGATATAAGACGTTGGCGACGTTGTCAAATACATTAAATATGTAGGCTGGCTCACGAGCTAGGAAGTGCCTATTATCTCAGGAGGATGCACAATGGACTTGATGAGGCCTAAGTACCGTGGGGGTATCCCACACTCCACACGTTACAGATACAGAGAGATGTTGACTGTCTTGCTCATTCTCTGATGCAACTCTTCTAAGATGTATTTTTTTTATGGGCAAGACCATTTAAGAAATAAATTACAATTTTAAAATTATAATTAAAATGTAGTGAAATATATATGGTGTTGAAATACAATCGTGGTATAATTCATAAAATAGGTTAAGAATTTAAAAGATTTAAAAGACAAAAGACAATAAGGTTGAATAAAATAATTGCATTAAAATTAAATATTAAAAATTAAAGCTCAGTACTAAGTAATTGCTTTATAAATTTATGAAAGGGGGTGTTAAATATCTCAAGATCGTTATGAGTGTTGGCCTTAGATTAAAGAGACCGAAGATGTAACATTGCACACTGCGCATGTTGTCTATTTTAACCTAAAGTAACCCACCAATTGAAAATCATTGTTTGCACGACGCCACCCGAATTGCTCCGATTTTTCCATTCATCAATCACCTTCACCTGAGTTTAATCACCATTGACAGCTGTTTTTTGATTTATTTGTTGGTATTTTAGCAATTTAAAGTGTTCTAGTTATTCAATTTCAAGTTCAAAATGCCACGATGTATCTTGAAAAATTGTATGTACTTATAATACAAGTACTAATGTTCAGGGGTGGGAAACTGGTATGCGCAGGCCTGGGATCAATCAACCAGGTCCGCGTGACGCTGCAGTCGGGTGGTGGGGTAGGTGGTGGGAGTGTAAATGACAGGTGAATATTGATTTTTGTGGGGGTGTCATCTTTCCTCCATGGGTGTCATGGCGTCTTGGCTTAAACCAAACGTGAACTTTGTTTATTTATATTGGTGACTGTTGTATTGAGTTGTTTTCATTTCCAATTTGCTTGATTGATTTAGTTGACCACTGTTAATAAGCTTGTTTTTCCATTATAAATTTGTGCTTTTTCCGCTGTTATTTTGTGGTTTTTCATAAAGATGCGTAATTATAGAAAATGTTGTGTACCGAATTGCCTTGTTGTGGACAACAAGATGCATCGTCTGCCTCACCCTACGAATTCACCCGATTTATTTGATATTTGTGCACTTGCTGTTCGTTGTCCAAGATTTAATAATAAAACAAGACTACAAATATATTCCACCTTTGTAGTATGTCAAAAACATTTTGAAGAGAAGTATAAAGTAGTTGGCTCTCGTCGAGGTCTAACACCTGAAGCATTTCCAACGCTATTCCTACCAGCAGTTCCTGGAAGAGTAGCGGATGGACTTTCCTCAAATAACGTAAAAATTGAATATGTTGATCAAACACCTTCTACTTCAAGTAAAGGTTCGAAGAAGAAGCAGACTAATAATATATGTTGGACTTCTTTTCGAGAAGGAAAGTTAGTAATCTACTCATTTATTTTATACTTATACTGTGTATTTTCTGTTTCATGAAATGTGGGGTTGCAAAGCTGTATCGTAGAAGAAGAAGCAGACTAATAATATATGTTGGACTTCTTTTCGAGAAGGAAAGTTAGTACTCTACTTATTTATTTTATACTTATTGCTGTGTTTGAGAATCCACATCAGATGCATTTTTTACATATCGAGCGTTTTTTTTATCCACATACCTATATATAAAACGTTTATTTAGTCAAAAAAACTATTTTTTACATGTCAATACATCTTCACGTTTAAAATATAAAAAATACATAAATATAGAATCAACATACATTTAAAATGCAATAAAAAATACATAAGATACAGTACACTTACATGTCAACTATACAAAACAATAAAAGAACAAGAAAGAGAAAAAAAACGTCAATAGGTGAACAGGTATTCACGCAGTTTTATTTTAAATATTGCCACATTTGAAGAACATTTAATATCCTCAGGCAAATTATTAAAAGCCTGTACACCATTAAAAAACACTGAATTTTGTGTGTACATTTTTCTTATTACCTGTTTAGGTTCATGAACATCCTGATTATAACTTAAAATATTTTGTAAATATACTCGGGAGATTCCTGATTTAATTTTAAATATAAAAAGCAGGGAATAGAATAGCAAATATTTTTTAACAGGCAACCACTGAAGCACATTCAACATGGAATTGATTGGTTCCAATCTCGAACAGCTCAGTATTATCCTCAGACCTCTATTCTGCAACTTTTGCAATCATTGCAACTCATTCTGGTTGAGCAAATACAGTATAGTGGCACAATAATTAATTATTATTTTAGCCCATTTGCCGAGATGTGGAGAACAGCGCCTCAAATAGTTTATTTTAAATCGGACACATCTGTCCCATTACATTTACGTAAACTGAATCACGTGATCAAAGATTTACTACATCTCTGTTGCATCTGATGTGGATTCTTAAACGCGGCATATGCTGCGTTTGAGAATCCACATCGGATGCATCTGAGATGTAAAAAATCTTTGATCACGTGATTCAGTATACGTAAATGTAATGGGACAGATGTGTCAGATGTGGATAAAAAAACGCTCGAGATGTAAAAAATGCATCCGATGTGGATTCTCAAACGCAGCAATATACTGTGAAATTTGTGTTTCATGACGTTTGGGGTTGCAAAGCTGTATCGTAGATGTTCGACTTATTAAAAAATAAAGTATTCCTCGGACTTAATTTTTTATTAATACATTTATTTTAATGAGATTATACTTATACTGTCTTTCTTTTTTCACAGCTAAAGTTCTTCACAAAATGATGGACAGTGTTGTATCCTGGAATATGTAGCAGCCATCCAGCTACTTCATACATAATACAATTTTCATATACATTACATTTTTTAAATATTGGATTTGTATTATATATATTCTTTAATAAATTTATTTTTTGAATATTCTTGTTTTTTTTATCTAAAAACTGTTAGCCAAATTAAGATTTGTTCACACAAACTGCATTTTTGCTTTATTATAGCGATATTCGCTATAATAAAGCAAAAATGCAATTTGTGTGAACAAATCTTAATTTGGCTAACAGTTTTTAATGCGGATAATTTTTACTGTCAAATTTGAATAGCCCCGCGCTTTTCTTCTCTTCTTCTT